GGAGGGTCAGAGGGAGAAGCAAACTCCCCGCTGAGCAGGGAGCCCGATGCGGGACTCGATCCCGGGACTACAGGATCATGACCTGAGCCGAAGGCCGTCGCTTAACCAACTGAGCCACCCAGGCGCCCTGCAGAAACTATTTCTAAAATAACCCAAATACGTGTCGCCACATTGAAAACCATAGAACTCAGCGACGCCCTCCCCCAACCCCAACCCATACCCCAAAACCGCTTCACTCATTCACAAGTTTGGAAGGTATGGGATGGAACGTGGAGCTGGAAACAGCGGTGTTAACACACAGCAGGGGCGGGGGCTGCCTTGTGTGTCCCCCAATTTCACATGCCAAAGCCCGAGCCCCTGGCAGGACTGTGTCTGGAGCAGAGCCGGCAAGGTGAGGGTGTAGCAGTGTGCCCCACTCAGACGCGAGGGCCCTGTGTGAGCAGCCGCGGCAGAGCTCGCCCCGGCCCCGCGAGGTCAGTGCGCGGCCCGGAAGGGCCCCCCCAGGCACCAACCTGCCAGACCCTGATCTTGGACGTCCAGCCTCCGGGACTGTGAGAAAATAAATTTCTGCTGGGGGAAGCGCTTCCTGTTCTCATATTTTTATTGTGAGTATTATATCAGGCTAGTTTTTTTCTTGTTGAAAAAAACCCAAAACTGTAAGCCCTCACACCCAGCTGAGGTGTGAAGTCTCTCTTCTCACTGAAGTTCCGGCCCCCGCCTCCCTGTTCAGGCCTGTGTGCTCGGTGCACTAAATGTCTGTCGCAGCAAAGGGAGACAGGACGCGCACACGTGCCTTGGTGTTTGCGAGAACAGGATGCATTTTCTGTCTTTCTCTGGAAGGACGTGTGAGCCAGCCCGGGAACTGGCAGTCTGTGGGGGGCGTCGGGGGCAATTATGACTGCTGCTCTGCGTGCCAAGGGTCTCTAGCGGGAGGAAGGCTGCGGGGGCTGTGCTTGCTTGCAGGGTCACCTGGAGCCTAGAACAGACAGCGCCTCCCAGAGAGCTCCTGAGCCAGGCTCCGCCCCCAGCCCAACTCCCGCGGGCTGGCAGGATTCCAGGTCCTGCCTGTTGGTGGTGGGGGCCAGAGCCAAAGCCTGGGCTCTGCAGCTCAGCTCTCACCACCACCCCACCGCCCCGCTCCCCGGAGAGGGCCATGCTTGGGATCAACATCTCCAGGGCCTCGTCAGGTTTCTAGTCCCCAAAACTGGAACTCATGGCTTGACCACAGGCCGTCCCCAAAATTCTGTAATGCAGCCACATGCCCAGACCAACCCTGCCACTTGGTTGGTGGGCTCAGTTGTGCAGGGTTGTGGAAAGAGCTTGAGTCTATTGCTTACCAGCTGTGTGATCTTAAATAAGTTACTCACCCTCTCTGTGCCTCTGCTTTCTTATGTGCAAAACGGGGTTAACGAAGCTCCTCTCTCAGAGGTTTTATAAAGATTGGACTAACAGTCGTGACTCACTTAGCATGGTGCCAGGCAGGGAGTCATTCTTTCTATGGCTGCAGTCGGCATGAGGTGGGGATTGGAGGACTTTCCCATAAAGGGACAGGTAGTGAGTATTTAGGCCTTGCGGCCACGGGATGACTAGGGTACCTACTCAGCTCTGGCCTTGTGGTGCGAAAGCAGCTGTAGACAGTACATAAATAAATGGGCATGGTTGTTTCCAATAAAGACTTATTTACAAAAATAGGTGGGCTGTAGTTCTAAGATGATGCCTTTCAGAAGGCTGGATCCTTAAGGGTGGGAAAAAGGGGGACAAGCGGCCAGGCTGGCCTCCGATGACAGAGATGCCCTTTGCAGTGAGGGGGTTTGGGCGCATTCCCCTACCGGGAAGGGCTACAACAAACCAAGGATTCTTAAGCCAGACCCATCCACCAACTGGGGATCTATCCAGGGGCTTTGGTGGGGGAAAGGGGGGTGTCCAGGAATCCCTGAATTCCTATATAAATTTGTGCATATGCTTATGGGCATTTTTCTGGGAAAAGGGTTCATCGCTTCCTTTAAATTATCGAAGGCATCTGTGATCCCCAAAAGGTGAGAAACCACCCTGTTGAGTCAAGCAACTCCCCAGACTTCAGTGAAGATGCTCAGTGACCTTGGGGCCCTAGCCGATGTGGGAAGAAGAGGCACCAGGGCTCGCCAGGCCCGCCACTGCTCAGAGGCAGGCTTGGGTCTCCTGGTCCCTCCCCCCTCCCTACCAAAGCAGGCTTCCCACCAACTGCAGGTTCTCAAGCTCGTTCTGGGAGGCTTTCCTCCGGGCCCCTGGTCTGAAGACAGCCCAAGCACTCCCCAGCCAACCCTCTGCAGACCCACAGGGAGCTTCCTTGTTTCCAGTTTCTCTCCCCTCCCCAGACTTGGCAGGTTGATGGGACCCCAGCGTCCTGCTCAATAGGGTAAGGGGGTGAGACCCTCAGAGAAATGCAAGGCACAGAATGGAGGACTGGCCAGCCGGTGGGTGTAGAATGGGCACTGCCCTCTGGTGTTTACTGGGAAAGTCTGGTCCACCTTGGTTCCCAGAGCACCCCAGACCGGAGCAGCCCAGCAACAGCCCATGCTGCCCCCATGGTCAGGGCCAGGCTGCTGCTGACCCATACGGGCACCCAAGAAGGCTGACAGTTCTGCCCACCAAAGTCGATGCCCTGAGGACAGGATGGCCAATGGGAGGCAGAGCTGGGGGCACTTGTACTTGCACTCCTAGCCCTGCTACCCCAGGACCAACCCCGGACTGGCTTCTGGGCCTCTCCGAAGATGTCCCATGAGACGGGAGAGCAGCTCACACTTGCTGACCCTGCCCCTTTCCTTGTCCCAGCCTCGCTCCACATGCCCCCCCCATGCCAGGCCCCCCGGGATCGCTCTCCCCAAAAAAGGCCAGCTTTTACCTGGTTTCTAGGGAACCCAGGCCAAGCCGGTTGGTGCCAAAAGTGACCTGGAAAAGCAATAGGGTGACTGACCACCCGAGATGCCACCACGGCCCTCTGCTGACGGAGTCCAGGAATTAAGAGTTTTGGCCCAAGTCCCCGTCACAGTGGGCCAAGTGGGTCCACAGAGCTGTCTGTGGTTGGTGCCCTGGTTCCCAGGAGCAGCACTAGGATGTGTTTACCTGCACCTGACGCACTCACCTTCGATCCTCACCTGAGGAGCAGAGACTCACACTTCCCAGGGATTTCCAGCAGGGCCAGGCCTGGTGAGAACCACCACCACAGAGGGAGAGGCGCCCCTGCCCACCTTGCTGGAGTGCCTCTCCCCACCCCCGCCCCGACCGGGGCTGTGGCGGGACTGTGGGCAACGGACCCGGAGCTCTCTCTGGTTTGCATGCTGATTCCGTCTTCAGGGCAGGGCCAACGGGCAGCCCTGGCTATGGGAGTTTGTCCGAAGCAGGCAGAAAGACCCAAGACTCCATTAAGTGAGCCAGAGGACAACTCTTCCCCCCCTACAGGGGATGCCCATGTGCCCTGGTGGTGCCCGGGCTCCCCTAAGCCCCTCTGCCACGGCCTGGGGTCTTTTCTCCAGGGCTGAACCTCTGGGGGATGCGTGGGGTCTGCTCCAGGTTGGCAGGAGGAGGGGTGCAGAAGCTGAGGAGGCCCGGATGCTCCCAGTCCCACTGATGACCTCGCTGGAGAAACCCCGGGCCGCGAAGTCCTGGCTCAGGAGGAGCCGTGGGCCTGGGACACAGGTTGGGGGGGGGTTTCATGGGTTGGGGGTGGGGGATGATCACCAAGCCCTGGGGGGCCACAGAGGAGACAGTTGTGAGTAGAAGGGGGACCGGCGCTCACGCCTTCCAGCAACTGTTTGCTGGGTGCTCTGCTGGCAATGAGGTCTAGTAAGACCTGGAGGAGGGACGGCCCCAGGAGGCGCAAGACCCAGGAGCCAGGGAGCCCACGCCAACTGTGAGTCGGTCTTCTGCCGAAGGAAGGGCATCCACACACCCAACTGCCATTATCACTGACGGCGCTCGGTGGGGCCCCGTCAGCAGACACTGGCTAAGCACCTGTCCTGGGCCTGGCCCTGCGAGATGCTGAAGAAACACCAGTTCACAGGGGCAAGCCCCCGCCTTCGGGGTGACATCCCACTGGCGTGGACAGAGTCTAAATCCCATGGGTGGCTGCAACACCGAGAAGGTATGGGTGGGACCATCACTGTGGGAGACAGTGGCTGGGGCATCTCGCTTTTGCCTGGGGTCCTCACCCCACTCCAAGGGGCCAACAGTGGAGCCAAGACTGTACTTCCGTTCAGGTTCTCCAGGAAGCTACCTGGAGGGGAGGCTTATTTCCTACTGCTTCGTGAGAGCGCACGGCCCCCTCGATCAGAAGCGATGGACAAGGCCAGGGAGCGCAGAGCCCCGTGCAGAGAGCCTGGGACCCAGGGCCAAGACAGGACAGGCTCTCTGTCCACAGATGTTCCCTGGAGAGGAGGAAGACAGAATCGGGTCTGCAACCAGGCAAAGTCTGGATCTGAATCTCTGCTCCCCATTTATTGCCCAGGTCCTGTTGTTTGGCCTCAGTTTCCACCTCTGTAAAACGCAGACTTCAGAGCCCTGTTCGTGGAGGTGATCGGGAATCAAAGGGGGCCACAGAGGCAAGCAGCCAGCCCCTCACCTTGCACAGAGCTAAGCTCCACGTGCAATGGCCTCCTGGTGCCCCCCCAGCCCACGGGATGGGGGACAAGCACTTCTTCATGGCCATTCTGCACCCTTGAACGACTATGTAAAGGTTTTGTGGACAAGGTTGAACAGACTGGATTTGAAGACTGTTTTAAATCCTTTGCAGATCGAAATGTTATCCAGTCTGAGCCTCCATTCCGGGGCGTCCCCAGAACGATCCTCCAGTTTCCAAAGAATGCCACCACCACCACCCACCCACCCCAAGGCGCTTCTCCAGGGCTTGGGGTGGCAAGGACCGCACTGCAGCCGGCACTGTGGTCTTTCAGGCCTTTATTCAGAAGGTACAGAACGGCGCGGTCTGGCAGGCACTGTGCGGGGGCGTGGTTTGTAACAGTTGTTTACTCCAAGGTGTCGCAGAGAAAGGGGTGCAGAAGGAAAGAGAACCCTCTGGGGAGTTGAAGAAAGGCACTGGCTGGGGGGGGGTGTGAATCCCCCGCCTCTTCCCAGGCTGGTGGCCTGGGTTATATACACACGGGGGCAGGGTGTGGACTGGATGCAGGCAAACTCAAAGCTAGATACAGCGAACAGGGGAAAGAGTCCATCTGGGGGGGGGTGCAGTGCTGTGTCCGGGCTCTTTCCCCCAAGTGGGAAAAGAAGTTCAGAAAGAAGGCACAGCTTTAAAGGACAAACAGAATCCAGCCTCCCAGTCTTAGTGTTTTGTGCAATTAAAAAAACTGGAAAAAATAAATATAACTTAAAAACTTCTTACACGACACTAAAGGCAAGAGAAACCTTCCTCGAATACGTGAAGCATGCTGCTCACCGAGAACCCCCTGGGGGCCCGGCAAGGACCAGGCAGGAAGGCTGTCCGTGTACCTGTGCGCACACGGCTTGGCTCACCCTCCCGGCCCCTGCGCGGCCAGGACCCAAGGCATCCCTGTGGGGACTGGGGCTGGGCAGGGAAGGGTTCTAAGAAATTCCACTTGGGATCCATCTACCCCTCCTCTAGAAGGAGGTGGCAGGGAATGGGGGAGAACAGTTAGCAAGTAAATACAGAACCCCAACCCCTAAGGAAGAGAATAACCCTACGAAGATGCCGCTTCATACCACTTTCACAGACAGAACGGGACCCAAAGAAACCCATTGCCAATGAGGCAGCACGGACCTCCTCTGACAAACATATCACTTGCACTTCAGCCCATCGTTTGCAAACCATCGGTGCCTGTTTAAAGTGCTTGGAAATTTTGTTCTCTTAAGTAGATCAAGCTGGTCACCTGCACTTTTTGTTTGGAGCAATCATTTGCTTTAGCAAACTTTCTTGGTAGATAGAAAGAGGACGATTTCTGGCCAGCCCACAGTGCTGGAATCTTGAATCTCAATGTCAGAATTTAAGTCCCTCCCTCAGGCCCCTTCCGAGCCACAAGTCACTCCAGCTCCGGAAGGAGACCCAGAGCTGCCTTTGGTGCTCCTGCCTTCAGAGGTCACATGCTGTCACGAGGCCTCTCTCGCTCAGCTGGGCGGGGGCGTGACCTTTAGCAAACCCCCCACGGGAGCTCACCACTGTTTTTGAACAAGAGCCAGGAAGTTTAAAAGTGATTTCCTTTTTAAAAAAATCTGTACTTAAACATCCTCATGTGTCCCACCCTCTGCCCCCACCGTTACTCACCCCGCCCGAAAGGGGAAATGCTGGTGTCGTGTGGGGAGGTCGGAGGTACCCCAGAGGCCCTGGGGCGGCAGCCCAGGAAACCTCTGGACTGATCCCTCCAGGCGCACACACCTGGGTGCACACGTCTCCATCGTGTCCCTGAAACAGCTCCCAGCAGAGAAACTGGCCCCAGCACCTGCTGCCTGGTCAGAGCTCAATTCCACCTGCCCCCCCCGCCCATACCTGCACGGACAAAGGAGGGCACCTGGTGGACACAGCTCCGCATAGCCAGAGAGCTGAGTGCTTTGTTCTTAAAGTCTGGCCAATTTTACATTCTTCTCCATAACAGAGACATAATTTGCTTAAAAATTAAAACACAGCTTAATGGCTTCCCCAGCCATCTTTAGGCAACCTGGAGACTCCAGGGAGAGCTGCCTGGAGCACCCCCTCCCCATCCCCGGCACCCACCACCTACCCTGGGAGCTGCCCACACCACATTTGGGAAATGTGGATCTAAGCCCTTCAGGCACTAAGAGTTACTTTAGGGGGGAGATGAGGCCAGTAAGCCAGAAACCTGCTTAGCGCTGCCCTGAAGCCCACCCCAAACCTTCTGGGGACCTGACCTCATGAAAGAAGCCCAGGGAGGTGGGGGTGTTGGGGGGTGAAGGGATGTATGGGATCTGTGCTCTGTAGGTTCCGTCTTCTTTCTCCGGGGCTGGCTATGCCCCGGCCCACCCCACCCGGTGCCCCCAACCTCGGCACTGCAAGGCGGGTGGCTGGAGGCACAAATGGCTCTGGGGGGTTGGAGGGACATCCCTGGAAGCTCAGGTGTGCAGAGCGTCCTCTGAATTCAGAGGGTGAGCATCAGAGGGAAGAGCACAGCTCCTGCCTGCCCCCTCCTGCAAAGGCCTAGGTCAGAGAGCACAGCCAGTCAACTCTAGCATCTCCGAACTCCCAGGTCTGGCCCAAAGCTGGAGGGTTTCAATACCAGATGGGTGGGAGCCTTGTGTTAGCAGGCCACCACCGTCTGGGGGCGCCCCTGGACTGCTAAAGGCCAACATGCAGTTCCCAGTGGCTTGGTACCCCAACTACCAGAAGCCTGCAGCCAGGCACCTGCTGAAGCCAGGGTTCTTACAACCCCCCCACTGCGGCCCCCCAGCCTGTGTGCTGAGCTGGGCAGCTCACTGACCGCACCGGCCACCAGGGGGCAGTAGGCCCCCACAGGAAGCCCGAGCGGAGGCTGGAGCTGGCTGCTGGGTTAGGAGCCCACCCGGTGGCCACCTGAGCCTGCTTCCAGACCTAAACCCAACAGAGCTGCCCTATAGGCTGCTGAGCCCTGGTCTGGGCATTCCTCTTCTGCTCGGAGATCCTACGGATAGACAGAAGTGGAGACCCCAGCTTCAAGCCCTTCATGAGGAAAGTCACCAGAAAATCTCCCCTCTGCTCTTGGAAATCTCCATCTCGTTTCTACAAAGTGTCTTGTAGTGCAGTTCAGGAGGGTCAGTTCTGGGGCTCGCACTTCCCTAGACACGAAGAGAAAAGGAAGGAGAAAAAAGGAAGCACAGGGGGAGGAAGGGAGGGTGTGGCGAGGCAGGCACAGGGGGCCCTCAGGCGAGCGGGGCGCCCTGGCACATTTCTGTCAGGATGTCGATGAGATTGTTCAGGCCCGAGAGGTAGCCGTCCTCCCGGTTCCCCTCCTGCCAAGGCACGTTGTGCTGCAGGGTCTGGCCCTCGGGCAGGGGCGTGGTTTTTCCGAAGTCAATCATCCACACCTTGGCCTGCTCCTTCTGGTCATGGATGAAAAGGAGTGAGCTGCCGATGACCTGGGGGGAGAGGGGGGTGAGTGGGGGACTGGGGAAGGCAGCACCGGAGCCCCCACAGCCCACCCCACCGCAGCCGGAGTGTATCCAGGGCATGCCCGCCCGGGATGGGGGGTGTGAAGCCCAGAGCTCAAAGCTCCATCCTGTATGGCAAAGCCCACCCAGGGTGGCTGACCAGGGGGCAGAGGATGCCGGCCACCAGGACAGCCACTGCCTTCCGTGTGGGCAGCGGCACGGAGGACATCTAGGATGGCAGACCCCCACCCCCCAGCTCTGGCCTGCACACTTTCCACTATTTCAGACTACCGCTAAACCCTGGGCCTCACCGTGCCCCTCCTTCACCCTGATGGACCTGCCCAAATGCACACACAGGCCCCCACCCAAGAGGGTGGCAGGGAGGGCCAGACCACCCCCATTCCAGCAGCACAACCCAGGCAAAGCCTGCGCAGACAGGCCCGGCAGGGCTTCTGGGGCTGGTCCCTGCCTACGCCCCTGCTCCGAGGACCACGGGCGCCAAGGAGCCCTCCCCCACTCCGGGCCAGCTCAGAGCAATTGCACGGAGTAAGGTGCTCTCCCAAATATGAACACATCCCCCAAACCCTCCCCTAGGGTGGGACTGGAGAAAATAAGGGGGTACGGGGAGAGGGTTTGGGGTCCTTATAGCTCCCAGGGCCCCAGGCAGGACAGGGAAGAGCTCCTGGAAATGCTGAACCCAGAGAGGAGCTTCCTCTTCCCAGATGGAAAATGGCAGAAGCCCCAGCTCTTTCTAGACTGAAGCTTTCAAATGAGACTCCAGAAGGAGTAAAGCAAAAACAATCTTCCAGAAATAACAGCAAAGGTGCAGAAGAAGAAAAGGCATATGTTCGAGACAAAGCCTGGGCTGCCGACCGGGGGCGGTGCGGTCCATGGGGCAGGTCCTGGGGCTCTGAGGCCCACGGATAGCCTGTGCCCTCTGGAGCATGCAGGCAGGCTGGGGGCGGTGGGGAAAGGAGGCTCCAGCAGGCTGCACAAAGACCTTTTATTGAGCTAGGAATCCAAACGCCCTGGGTGGGGCGGAGGGCTTGCACACCCTGGGCCTCAGTGTGGAGGAGGAGAGGAAAGGGCATCCTGGGAATGGCTAGGCCAGGGGCAGCTGCTCAGGGCAGAGCCCGCCCCGTCTGCCCTCTGGGCACCACAGTCCCCCCTCACGGGCAGTCCTATCCAGGCAGCTGTCAGAGCCACCCCGTGGGACAGGTGCATCCTTGACCAAGGGACCAGTTAGGGATAAAATCCCAGGGCAAGCCAGGCTGTGTGCCCAGAGGCGGGGCCAGCCGTGTCACCTGCTCAAAGATGCCGTGAGGCCTAGCAGGGCCTGGCCCACCCCCCTCTGGGGAAGCTCCCTCTGCCTGGGGTCCTGGGACCACCCGTTTCTTGTTCCTCCTGCTGCCCTCACTGCCCCCTCTGTGTGTCGGGCTCAGGCTCAGGCTCCCTCCGTACAAGAGCCCGAGAGGGGCTGCTTTCTGGAAGGAGCTGCAAGCCTGCAGGGAGCACAGGATCCCTGCTTCACATGCACCTGGCCACGGCAGTACCGTTTCTGGGAGTAGCATGCAGGGGTGTGCGCACGTATACACATGTGCACGCATGCTCCAGGGGCTGGGGGCCCTGGACTCTCTGACATCAGGATCCTACAGACCCCCCAGGGAAACTGCTGACAATTCCCAAACCTCTCTCGGGTGTCTGGGTTGCCTGCCCGCTGCCCCTGCAGACAAACAGGTGCAAAAGCAAGAACAGGTGGAACGTTCCAGCCCTGCTCCAAGAGTGGTGCCTAAGACGGGCCAGCCCCTTCAGAAGGTCTTGGGTGGTGATGGGTAGCTCTGCCCTAAGACCCAGAAGCGTGTGGGACAGAAGCTTCAGCTGCTGGGAGGGGGAGGGAGGAGTGGGATGAGGATGACCACAGCGCTCAGGCAGGACAGCCTGCGTGGTCATTCCAGGGAGCCTGGTGCAGATGCGTGCCGACGAGGCTCCTGCTGGCAGCGAGGGGCCTGATCCCGGGCGGGCTGCCTCTGGCTGCATGGTCCAAAAAGTGCCCCTCAGGCTTCCAGAACAAGCAGGTCTGGAAGTGTGGGAGGCGCGCTCACCACTCAGGTGGGCAGGCCCGAAGATCATGGCTGACTCCACAGAGCAAGGCTCTCTGCCCCAGAGAAGGAAAGCCCGGTATCTACCTCATGGCATTTGAAGAAGGGAGAAACTTCTAGGGTGGCACGGATGTCTTTCAGCCGGTCCCGGTAGGCGATCTGGGAACAGAAAATGGCCAG